GGGCCCAGGCCCTGCGCTTCCTCCAGCCCCCGCGGCCTCCTAACCCGGCGTCCCCCCAGGATACCCAGCTGCCGGCGTCAAGTCCCAGCAAAGGAGACTTGAGCCCAGCCGGGACGCTAACGGTAATGGCGCCCCCCGCCGGCCATCTCCAGAGGAGCAGGCCAAGGGCTGGCGGGGACTGGAGGGATTCCCTCCCGGTGCCAGGCCCCCTTGGGGCTGGGCTGCGAAGTTACCCCGTGGGGCCTGGGAAGGCTCCCTCTACCCCGGCCCCTCACTAGGGCCGATGACTGTTTGGGCCCTTGCCAGTGTCAGCGAAGTTGCTCTGGCTCTGAGTCCCACCGTCTCCCTGGGCCTCAGTTTCCCCTCTGTGCCCTGAGAAGTCAGCCGTGGAGGGGGGCGTCTGATGCACACGTGGGAACCCCCCACCCCGCTTCCGTGCTGGCCTCAGCGGGCTTATTCCCAGGGCTTCTTGCTGCCCTGTAGGCTGCCTGCGGGGGGCCGAAACTGGCCACCCTCCTGGACAGCCAGGCCTGGGTCCTGCAGGTGCCCAGAATGCCTGTCAGTGGGCTTCCCTCAGGCAGGTCCCGGCCCCCGGGACGCCTCTCCTCAGCGTGGTGGCCTCACAAGACTGACCTAGAGGACAGGGCCGGGGAGGGCCAGCCTCCTCGGAAGGAGGGAGGACCCTCCGCCCCACAGGACCCTGCCGAGATGGGAGGGGCCAAGGGACGGGTGGGGGCAGCGTTGTGTGCACTGGGGCACTGGGTGAGTGGGAAGGTGCGGCGGAGGTTGGGGGGTGAGCCTGGGGGTGTGCTGGGTGGGCAGTTCGGAAGGGAGGTGGGTCTGTGAGGGTCTCTGGGGGTCAGGAGTGGGGGTGTGGGGCCCTGAGCTTCCTCCTCCCACTGCAGGCCCTGGCTGACCGCGGCTCCGAGACGCTGACGGCTTTTCCCAGCCCGGTGCCGGCCGGCGGTCTTCGGCAGCTGGTGGGCCTGGAGCCAGCTGCCCGTAGGCTCCCGCGGCTGCTGGTGCAGGCCCTGCGCGCCTTCTGCTGGGCTGCTCTGGCAGACGCAGAAACCCAGGGCCCGGGGTGGGTGTGAGGCAGGCTGCAGGGAGGGGGCCCCCACCCACTCACCCCTCAGACCTCCCCAGCCAGGCAGCCTCGCCTCAGGTCTGAGCCACCAACAGCTGGAGAGGTTCGGGGAGCACAATGACCGGCGACCACCCCCACAGTGACTGGCCTGGGGGTTGGGGCTCGCGGGCAGTGTGTTTCCCCAGACGTGACCTCAGAAAACCACAGCTGCCTTAATAAATGCTATTTGTGATCTGCAGAGACCATGAGCTTTCTTGGGATGGGAC